CAGGCAGGGGACAAACACAGACGGTTAGCTTGTGCTAGCGTGCATTAGCTTGCAGTGTAGGAACAAGCAGTAAACGTACACACTACATCCTGCAGTGAGGGTGAGCTTCAGGGGGAGATGAGCCCAGGAGGAGGGGCCATGTTTGAATGTTGTTTACAAGCTGCATCGGAAAATGCTGCTGACTCCACCTTTAATATGAAATCATTTCAGTCCTTGTTCACTGAAGTCCTGTGTACCCTGTGGTGTTTTGTGTATTTTTAGAAACCTTTCTACCTTAAATAGACAACCAATGAGATGAAATCTGGTGTAAAAATACTGAGTGCTAACTCACTACACTTTCAAATATCAACCCATCTCTCTAGACTCATACACACATGCTGCACCCCCCCCCCCCCAGCCTGGTCAGACCTGCACATTGGAGGAAGCCTGTCAGTTGTTCCTGCTCTGATTTGTCCACAGGGGACGACAGACAGAAGAGGAAGGGGAGAGAGATACATTTACAGGAGTTTCCTTTTAGAAGCTGCTCTCTGTGCAGCGCCTGCAGCCACAGTGTGCCCTGCACTTTAACTTCTGTACACCTGCCACTTTAACAGGTATGCTACGACAGCTCTGTTGTCGTATGTGTGTCTTTTATCCATTGTGCTCCTTGTTGGGACAGAGTGACGGTGCACAGAAACAGAGAGAAGCTGAGTGATACGGACAAGTTGTGACCAGCGCGGCTCAGAATTGTGAGTGTGTGTGTGTGTGTGTGTGTGTGTGTGTGTGTGTGTGTGTGTGTGTGTGTGTGTTACAGAGGTGCAGTTGGGAGGGCAGATGCCTGAACTGACCTTTATTCACTTTTTTTTTTAATTTGCTGAAGAGAACTAGTTGTTCCACATTCTGTAATGCTTCCACACTTTCACCAAACTCCCGAAAATCTCCTGAACTTTTGGAGGTGAGCTGCGTGTGTGTGGATGCTAACTCCCGGAGTTTCTCCTCCAGCCTCCTCGTATTGATTCTGCAGAAAGTCAGAGTGAGCTGATGTGAGAACACAGCAGGATATAATCAGGAGAATTCACCTGGAGCCAGTGGGAGGGGGTGGTGATGTTTATTCCCTGTGATCGCTGCACAACCATAGACTGTCTGCACGCCACCTCTACGACCTTGTGCTCTAATTTTCTATTTTTTTCGCTGGGCATAAAAAAAGACATAAATGACTTAAAGGCTGTGATCCTCCTGGTTCATGTCCGACCTGCGGCTCCTTCCTGCATGCCATTCTTCTATCTCAATTTCCTGCACCGTCCTATCAAACACCGGGAAAAAGACCCAAAATTAGATCTTTAAAAAAAACATATATGATATATGAAGATGAAATGCTCACAATAGAAAGGAGACATAGCGACGTAGTAAAAATATGTGTCCCCTCCTTCTCCATCTCACCATTACACTCACTCTTGTCTCTGATTGGCTGGGCGGTGAGGTTGGATGGAGATTTGGAAAGGAAGGAGGGGGGTTGGGATGCTGTTGGCAGGCTCCCCCCGACTCCTGCCCCCACGGGACAACCCGCCACCATCTGCTGGTAAAGTAACACCACCTTTGGGGGACGAGTGTCCAGCTGGGAGGGACACTGGAGAGCAGCAGGGCGAGGACGGACACCGAGGCTGAAAACCATTAGACATTATCAATAACAGCCCGAGCTCCTCCGGCGATGTCACTCACAGCGATGATGGAAAATGTAATCACTGCTCGGGGTTTAATAAGAATTGTTTATTTTGAATTAGACGTGTAATCACACCAAAGGCCAAACGAGGTCAGACCAGATGAATTATTGAATTACTGCACCTCGATGTTTCTGAAGATTCACATCACTAAACAGCACTTTAACATATTTCTCACAGATCATATTTGCTCCTCGTTGGAGCGTGAGTAAACGGAGCCATCTGCTCCTTTCTGGGGAATCACTGCTGCAGAAAAGGGGCTTAAAGGGTCTTCTTTTCAGCGCTATAAAATGAGCATTGTATAAAGCAAATATCAGAATAAAAAAACCCGCTCTGTGTGGACCTTCCCCGAGGACATTAAACGTGCATCACGTTGTAAAAGATAAATCAGTGTGCAAACTCTGTCAGCGGGGCTCAGACCTGAGATTCTTATTTAACTAGTTCACGCGCTTTGTGTTCTCATTTAAAATGCTTTTTGTGACATGACATTTGCATTTCATCTCTAATATTTGCTCGTACTCTTAAGTGAATTTAATTTCCTGTCAGACCAAAAGAGGATAGAGGTACCTGTGGTGATGGTTGATAAGTTGGAGTCAGGAAGCAAAGCTAGCAATGTAGCTTGTTCTTGATTCTTCCCGCACCATTGCATAAAACGAGACTTCCCTCTGTGTGTTCCTGCTACTATGCTAAGCTAGGCTAAGGGGGGAAAACAGTGAGTACAGCTGAAGACTGTAAGGCACGATCTCTTATACGTCAGGGTTAGTGAAGCCAGATAACCCAGAGATACCCTGGGTATGTTGAACCCCATTTTGTAGTGCAGGCCCCAGGTTATAGCTTCACAGACTCAGTTACCATAGTAACAGATTCAGAACTAAAGTCATCTCTCTTTCTGGAGCAGGCTTGAGCTACACCTCTCTCTCTGGGTTTAAACGACCTCCCTTTCTTAAATGGAAAACCCTGAGTTTCCCTCATTTCAGGCTTAACAGACTAAACCTGCTTTCTGAAACAGCCTCTGGAGCTTCTCCTGACATCCTCCTGGTATTGCATAGAATAAAGCTTTCTCCTGCGTCTTCCTGCGTCTATGCTATGAAAGAAAACCTATAACAATGTGCTCTCACATGTGCACTAACAGCAGATCAGTATGTAGGGACTTGGTTTGGGAACCGGGGCATTGCAGAGGTGCCCTTGAGCAAAGCAACTGCAGAACTTTGTCAGGTTTTAATGAATGTGTGGGTGGTGCTTTTCAGCTGATTTCAAAGCTGAGACTTGAAACTAACCTGGTGTCCCGACAAGGTCAAAGCGAGTTAGCATGGTCAGGGAAAAAAAAGAGGGCAGGCTTCGGGGCACAGATTTTAAAGTTCAACCAGGCTTAATGGAGCAGAACTTCAGAAGAAGTTCAGTTCTCAGGCTGGACGCTGACGCTGCTTCTCAGCAGCTGACGTGCTTTCTGCCTCTCAGTGGACGTCCACATACTGTGACGTCACGTTCATACCCTCGACAGTCTCCAGTCACCTTCTGGCCTAAAGTGTGAGCTTAACAATGCAAAGCTTTTAAGAATGATTTACTAATGATGTAATGATAATGATATCTCTTGGGTATTTTGTGGTCCTTGCCACACAAAGATCCCCGCCAAAATAAAGTCCCTAAAAGATACTCGGTGCTAGACTTCAGCTGGTTACCACAAACCTCTCGGGGTCATGTGAACGTTTTGGATTTAAGGCTGTGTTTTGATGATTTTGTTGCATAAAGTTTCGGGGTCTTCAGTCAAATTCACGTCTCAGATTCGCAGTACGAGTCATACCCTGCAGGGTCAGGGCTTTTAAAACCGAGGTCTCAGCTTCAGGCCAGTAAAAAAAAAAAAAAAAAAAAACCCTCTGCCCTCCGGCTCTCCGACTTGGACTTTTTCTTATAAGCTTCAAAGATTGTTCCAGAAATATGCAGCTTTGTTTCATTAGTCCTGAGAACATTCCCAGAAGCTTTGTACAGTACACAGCCTTCAGTCATGGTTACGTAAACAACGTCAGGGAACTAATGTTTCTGTGAAATACCTCTCTGCACAAGATCATAAACGGTTCCTGTAACGCAGGATTCTTTCAGAAGAAGAGCAGAACTGTTCTAGGAATCACTGTATATCTGTAACCACATGTCTCCTTTGGGAATGTGTGGGAATGTTCCTCTGAACCATATGGGAACATCCTCCTTAACTTATGTAAAAAAACAGTTTCCCCAGAGATTGATCATGGGTGTTTTACAAGTCTTTATGCTTTTATTTTTAGAAGGTGAAAACAGAGGTTAAGATCATAGACTGTAAATATTAAGTGACGTCACCCGTCTGTTCCTGCAGGGGGCGCTGGAGTCCCATCGATGGCGGTCTCCATGCTGGAATGCTGTTCAGTCTAACTTTCAGTCAACCTAACGACAGGCTGAGAGCTGGACCTGAGGCGGGTTTTAAACCTCCTGACAAACCATTACACCGCGCCCACCTGTCAATCAGGTCAGCTACACACCTTATTGTGAATAACTCTTATCCTTCATCAAATCAAAACTGATGAGTCATCAAAACATTCACCCCCCGTACAGTGTGTGTCGATCGAGACATGAGCTAATCAACTATTTGTTTTTTTTAACCAGGCTGTAAACATGTTAATCTCTGCTTTTTAGAATGGGTGACTTCCTGTGCTTCTGCTGCCTCTAGTGGACACTCGAGGAACTGCAGGATTTTACACTTCAGCATCGGCTTCATGTTTCAACACTGGAGGTTTCCACTTGGTTAAAATGTACAACACAGACTATGTCTACACATCAGGCTTCTCACCCCCTCGACATTTTTTTGAAATTGATTAACTTTAGGTCCCTTGGAGTAGTGACTCCTCCCTATCGCCCGTCCACACAAATGTTCGTAGCCATTGTATGATAATATCGAGTCGTGGGGCCTCTGGTTAGTCCCAGCAAATAATGAAATAAGATAAAATACAGCAAAGTTCACATTTCAAGGATTAGTTGTCGTTTTTAAAAAGATAAATCAGAGGAGGGAGATTTTTTATTGACACTCTGGTTTGATTATTTTACTTTTAAATTTAGTTTATTAGTTTAAAAAACATGCATGCTTTGCCTTTGTGCTCATGCATACAAACAGCAGCTTTTGGGACGCTTTATTTCTTTGCAATATACCGGAAACAGTTTATTCCTGCATGTATGGACCATATCATGCATGCTGTGTTTTTATTTATTAGTTTATTTGTAGCGCCTTTGAACATATGGGAGAGAGAGAGGAGGGGAGGGAGGGGGGTCTTCCTGCTCTCTTTCTCTCTCCCTCTCTCTCTCCAATCCGCCAACAGTCGCTTCACCAACGAGGAAGCGCACAGTCACCACTTCATGATCCGTGCGCACCGACCGACCGAGCGAGCAACCGGCGCAGGAGCAGCTCTCTCTCTCTCTCTCTCTCTCTCTCTCTTTCTATCCCTTTCTCTGACTCCCTCTCTCTCCGTTTGCGTTGTTCGGTACCGGCTCTTTGTGTATAGATGTAGACGGTAACCGGAGCTCAGCGTGCAGTCGCCTCTGCGCCATGGAGGACTGCTGCTCCCCGGAAAGCGAGAGGATGGAAGCGTGGCTGGACGACCACTTGGAGTTCACCCACTCCTACTTTATCAGGAAGGCGTCAAGGTAAAGACAAAAAAGAAAAGAAAAAAAGAAGTCTGCAGCTGACACGTTGTGGACACTACAGCTGATTTATTGCGTTTGTGTACATCTCCGCAGCCAATCAGGGACGCTTTAATTTCCTCTGATAGTTTTTTTTATTATAGGGAAATACACACCGTAAGCGTAAACACTCCAGCTGTCGTTAATGCGACTCTGACATGGTCCACTGTGACCTGGAAACCCCATGTCCCTGCTCAGGTGGTCTGTACCTGCAGAGTTAACGCACTGTGAGGTGATTCACACCTTCCTCTGCACAATCAGCTCCACAGTTGCACAGATCTGTTTAATCATTAACTTTTACAGCTGCCAATGATTCTGTCTGTTTAATTCTCAGCCCGCTCCGCTGAAGAGGTTCACGCACGGTGATAATTAAACAAGTCCTTCACATAGAGGAGCCTGTGGACCTTTCCTCTGCTGCAGACCTCTGGTCCTGTGGAGTTTAGGGTGCATGCTTTAGAGGGAGCTTGCAATAAGAGAACATGTTTATGAAACTACAGAAGAGGATTAGAGACGCGTTCAACGTGAGTCCTGAGTTTTAATGGAGCATTTTCAGTTTTGCACAGACTTTATATTCTGAATTTATTGACAGAATTATGACCTCTTTGATCTGGAATATAACATGTGTATTTCAATATTAGTTAACCTAATTGTTAGGTTCAAACTCAGAAGTCTATCTTAGATTTTACGGCTTTATTTACATTATTCTGACAAAATTCTACAGAGGCCCTAAGCTGCAATACAGCCATTCATTTTATTTTGTAACACAGATTACGTTTTTCTCTCTCTCGAAAATTTAACTTATTTATCTTGTTATCTTGGGATATTGAATCAGATTCTGAGTCACATAAAACGTATTGTTACATGTCCTCTTAGTGCTTTTGTAAAAACGCAGACTTTATTGTTTGAACTTTTTATTTAAAACTTTGATTTTTTTATTTTAGACATTTTTTTAACATGGAATTTATTTTTTCTTCTTCTGCAAAAACGGTTTCATACGTCAAATTATGGACAATCATCTTGATTTTAAAGATGATTATTTTTGGTGCTTTTTGTGCGTTCATTTGAGAGATAGGACAGTGGCTATCAGGGAGAGAGAGAGTGGGGATGGAGGAAAGGAGCCACAGGTCAGATTTAAACCTGGGGCGTCCGCTCTTGAGGACTAGACCCCTGTTCGCTGCCACTCTAGTCAATGATTGTGTTTCCACAGGGAGCGTTGCTGACATACCATGGTGCGCAGGGACTATGTGGAAATTTGGGGTCAGGCGAAACAGACTTTTTACATTTTATTTTCTAAAACAAAAATTCACAGTGAGCGATATTTTGACTTTTAAAAGAAAGCAGGATGACACTTTTGTCTTAATGACATCTTACAAAGCGCATAAAGATGTAAAGTACTGCTTTGTCCACAGGGGCACCAACACTGCATAAAGTCCCTCACAGGAGCTTTAAGTTCCAGATTCAGATTTTACTCCTGGACAGAAATTACTCAAATGAAAAAAAAAAAACCTTACTTATTATTTTCAACTTTTCTTAACATTTTCTTCTTCAGGCAGCAGCAGCTATATAAGGCAGGTTTGACAGCCGGCTCGTCGTCAGCCTGGCAGCACTTCATCGGGACACTCTATGCCTGTGTTTGTTTTAGTGACAAACCCCTTCAGAGCCATTCATCCACTTTATCCACCATGTCAACTTCTCACTCTGTCGCTTTTCCTTTCAGCTGCAGCAGCACACGCTCAATCCCTTCTCCAGATCTAAATATTCTCCATAAAAAGTATCGTGAGGGGACGTCTTTCTCCTCCTCCTCTTCTGCTGATTTTAACTGCAAAGTTAAAAAAAAGAAGATTTATGAGCGCTCACATCAGCCTTTCTGCTGTTCTGGTTGAGAGGCTTTTCTCAGAGAGGTATTGATTCAGCCACACAACCTCGGGATACATTAGGGTCGGCTCTGTGGGGAGATGTAGTACGGAGAACTCAGCTTGATACGCTGCAGTCAGATAACAGCGATTCTCTGTGACTCTTAAGTTTTCATTCGCCTGGCTCAGGGCCAGAGATAGCACGGTTAATTTCACGGCCTGCGCCTGTTAACGTCTGACCCGAGTTTCGGCCTTCCACTCCGGTGAACGGAACCTTTGATTGGCCTGGAAATATCAGGACGAGTTGCACGACCTTTAAAAACTTGAGTCAAAGTGGAGGAGAGCAGGCTTGGAAATGTGTGTGCGTTTTAGTGTGTGTGTGTGTTCATGTTGTAGGAGTTGATTAGACAATGTGTTGGCTGATTAGAGAGCCTCGCTGTAATTACATTTTCTGTTAACACACAAACCGCACGAACACACACACGCACACGCTCACATTATATTTGTTCCAGCAAATATCCGCTCACACTTTAAAGAGGGTTTCAAATGATCTTTTCCAATGTGACTGCATCTTTTTTTCATTACCCTAATTTTTTTTTTTTAAAGATTTATTTTTGGGCTTTTTGTGCCTTTAATGCAGAGATAGGACAGTGGACAGAGTCAGAAACCAGGGAGAGAGAGCAGGGAATGACATGCGGAAGGAGGCCACGGGTGGAAGTGAACCTGGGCCTCCCGCTTGAGACGACAGCCTCAATACATGGGACGTGCGCCCTAACCATTGCGCCACCAGCGCGCCCCTTCATTACCCTAATTGATACTTTATCTTCCTACTGGACCTAAAATGATTTTAATTCTCTGATATTATTTATTCTCAAACATTTGGCCGGGATGAAAGAGCCTGTTGTGTGATCATAGTAGGACTGGGTATTTCCCACAAGCCCACGATCCGATATGTATCACGATACAGAGGCCTTGATACAACATGTTGTGATACACAGATTTTGGATACTGACCATGTCCTACACTGAATTCACTATTCTGTGAATCTGTGATAGGACGCTGCTGACCGGTGATTGATTGCATTTTGTTGTGTACAAAACTAACAAAGTCGGAAACATTATCACAGGAACACATTTGAGCTTACTGTTCACGTCTTACCAGTCATAAAGTGTCCTTCCCTGTGTCCTTGTTCTTTTTATCACTTAACCCCTTTCCTAAAGTAAACAAACGCCTTGACTAGCAGGGGTCAATGCAGCATGAAGAACAAATCACCGGCACAGCTGACCATGCTGCCTGTGCTCGCTGCTGCTGCTGCTGCTGCTGCTGCTGCTGCTGCTGCTGAGGGGTTAATTTATGCTTCTCATAATGAGACTACGGCATAGAAACCTTCAGGTGAGAGGATCACTGAGTGCTTTGTGTGTCACATCTGGGCCCTGTGTACATTAAAGGTCATATAAAAAGAGATGTGTGTCTCGTTGTTTGTGTGGATCGAGATCCTTATAGCTTTTTTCTCTCAGCTATGTCTCTGTGGAGGAAGCATATGAGGGGATAAAGCTTCGATATGCAGGTTTAAGGGCTGATCTAAACAGCGAGGATGGAAATAGGGTTCGTCCAGTAGAAGTGGGATGTAGAGAGTTCACAGCCGTCTCATTACTGGGTGAACTCGGAGTGCAGGGACAGAGCTAGGAAATCATTCATCTGCTTAGTTTTTCTCTCGTCTCTTCCCTTCTGAGGAAGAAACGCGGAGGTAGATCAACAGCCCGATCCAGCGGGGGCGTCTTCTTTCTAAGATCTGTCTTCAGGCTTTTCTACTATGTGTGTGTGTGTGTGTGTCAGAGTCGCTGTCAAAGGGTTTGATCAAAGTAAGAGGGGGTTTACTAATGAAATTGGATAAAAGACTTTGGACCAAATAATGAAAAGCATTACTGTTGGCGCTAATACTTAGTTGTAGCCTAGTAGTTTGTGCATGCGCCCGATGTACAGAGGCTAAGATCCTCCGAGTGGGCATCACAGGTTTGAGTCCCACCTGTGGCTCCTTTCCTGCATGTCATTCCCTACTCTCTCTCACTCCGATTTCTGACTCTATCACTGTCCTAAAGATAAAGAGCAAGAGCCCAAAAAGAAACCTTCAAAAACATTTAAAAAAGATCATTATATCAAAAAGTTTCACTGTCAGTTTTCCCCCAATATAGTTCATCCCAAAAATCAAACGATACCTGTTTCAATACGTCAGCAACAAAAAAGGAAACCCAAGGCACCTCATATTTTGTCATTTCTTTTTTTTTTTTTGTGCAACTTGCAGAAAATGTTCCTGTAATCTTTGATGGATAGAAGCACCTGTCCTTGGACATAGATGTCATTTTTCTTAAAGAGGACATATTATCCCCCTTGTCTACCTTTTTAAACAGTCCCCTGTGGTCTAAATGAAACATCTGAGTTGTGCTTTGGTCAAAATATAACATGAATCAATCACCAGAGGAGGTTTGTGACCCTGTATAAACCAGCTCTCTCAGAACGCTCCGTTTCGGTGTGTGTGTCTCTTTAAATGCAATGACCCCCCCTGAGTTTTCCAGTAAACATCACTCCTCTGTAGAGAGAATAAAAATTACCAACCTGTGCAAAAGTTTTGCCCTAGGCTGGGGGTGGAGTCCTTGGGTGGAGATACCAGGGGAGGGGAGGGGATTATTTTAACAGAATCCCCTTGTGATGTCACAATGAGAGCAAATTTGAAACAGAGCATTTTTCTCTGTGTTGTAAGACTTATGCAGACCACAAACAAAGGACTGGATGGATTTATTTCACATTTTGTGGGTCGGTAGACACTCAGGTTACCCAAATAAATGTTCAGAAACACTGTAGAAGTGGATTTTTTCAGAATATGTCCCCTTTAAATCTTTAAAGTCTAACACAGCTGCACAGAACATTTCTTGTCAAAGCCTCTCATACAGTTTCTTCTCTCTGCAGGGAGATGGTGAATGCTTGGTTTGCTGAGCGCGTCCACTCCATCAAAGAAAATCCTCCACAGCAGCGTCCCCACCAGTCCTCCACAGACCCCTCCTCCGCCTCCACCATCCTCCCGCCCACACTCAGCCTCCTGGACAACCGCTGCCCGTCCCCAGCCACAGCCCCCAGCCCCGCCCCCGGCACGCCGACTCGAAAAATCTCCGCGTCAGAGTTCGACCGCCCACTCAGACCCATCGTGGTCAAGGACTCTGAGGGATCTCTGACGTTTCTGAGCGACGCTGACCGTGAGACTGTACCTCCGTGGGGCTCAGTGATGGGGGAGGGAGGGGGAGGTAATGGGGGTGGCTGCGGCGTGGCCGGTAGGGGCAGCGGGGGTGACCGCTGCGCCCGGCTGCTGGAGCTGGTGAAGGATGTGTCGAGTCACCTGGACGTGACAGCTCTCTGCCACAAGATCTTCCTCCACATCAACGAGCTCATCGCTGCAGACCGCTACTCTCTGTTCCTGGTAGGAGGAGAGGGCCTGTGGGTCCCACTGTCACTCTCACTGGTTTAACTGGAACACAAAGATTGTCTCTGCTAGTTTTGATTTTAAGAGATTTTATAGATATCAAAATATAGACGCTGAGAGAAATGTCCCTTGTGTTGGGACTTTTCATGCTAATTCAGATTTTAACACCAGCAACATGTTCCCAAAAAGTGTTTTAGGGCTTGAACATTGTGTACAGATAAGAGAGCGAACCTCTGATTACTCTCATCACTGTCTTAATATCTTTAAACCGGGGCCATATTTTTTCGATATTTCTAATTTGAATAATTAATATTTTCAAAACGTTTTAGGGAATGCTGGAGTAGATCAGCAAAGTTTCAGATCATGAGGTATGTTGGAGTAATCCCAGGATGTCTCTGCAGAGGGCGCTAAACAGCTTGTTCTGCAAATCGCACGATATTTCCCCGATATGAAACCATAATTTCACCAGACGGCTTCAAGCCTCTACGTAAGCTGCTGAAACCTCTTACATAGACTCTCTTCTCCCAGCTCTGGAGAGCAGCCCTCCCCTGGCAGCCCTGCAGTGGTCTGTTCTCTCCAGGAAGGCTTCCAGGGAGCTGGCCAATCAGAAGAGAGTGGGCACATGGGAAGGGGGGTCTTAAAGAGACAGCAGCTGAAACAAACAGTTTCTGTCAGAGGCTGAAATTAGGCTTTTTTTACTGACCCCAGTATCAGATCAATAAGGAGGTTTTTGAGCTGCAGATCATACAAAGCTGCTCTTCAGGTTTCACAGACTGACAACATGAAAGGAGAACATGAGGAGAATATGGGACACTTAAAGAGGAAGAGGCTTTTTTTGAAGCCACAAACAGAGGTTACATATATAGCTCGTTTCAAAAACACCAGACTCCACTGACAAAATCTTTAAAAGTTTGCTTTGAAGAACACAAAGTTGTTGATCTTTGCTTGGTTTAGTTAGTTAGTTCATGTTTCTGTGCTTTGAAGAATTAGAGCTAACCCCTTTAAAGCCGCAAACTCACACCAGTACAAACAAGCTAACCATTTGATGCCTCACAGTCGTTCCTATTCTATAAAATGAAATGTCTGTTTCTCTCAATGGAGTCTGGTGTCTCTGACGAGAGAGACGTAATCGCTGTTTCCAGTTTGAGAAATACTCAAGGGTAAGCTCTAGGCACCTCCTGTTACCTTCCATATGAGGCTTAAAGTCCTAAAAGTTATAATCTATGTGGGTATATTTTGCGCCCATTTTTTTTTTAACTGCAGTACTTTCATGCAAAGTTAAAGTTTTTCACCATTAACAATCTCGGACGCCAACACATTTTCCCAATGTCAGTGGATTATTATTTAAAGTGCAATAAGAAGCTAATATAAACTCAAACTCTGCAGCTAACTCTCATTTGAGTCGTGTCATTTGAGTCGCCCTGGCTGCTAATTGCTCCTCCATGCTACATGCTAACTTCATTGCTTGCTCTTTGGCTGGTGGTGTGTGTATTTGGTTTATCTGAACATAAAGCCGCGTGCTAACACTGGAAACAACATTTTCTAAATCAGAACAAAGTCCAACACAAAGTCTTACACAGCATTAGTATTTTAAGCTACTGTTTACGTCACATATTGAGAGTGTTTACATGGACTTTGCTCCATGTCCTATTGTTTACGGTGAGAAGGCAGACTCAGAGGGCAGAACAAACACCTAGCTGTGGGAGTGTCAACCACCTGGGGGAGGGGTTACTGCCCTTTGTGATGTCATGAAGGGAAAATCTCTAAATGGCCTGTTTGAGCACACATTTTCTGAAAAGTGGAGCCGGCAAAAGACAGAGAGGATGGACTTATCTCATCATTTGTAGACAGACTAGAGACACATATTAGTGTTAGAATTTTTTTTCACAATATGTGACCTTTAACCTTTTAATGTAGGGCACAATAATGAATAACAGGTCATCTCTATATTGTGGCTTTATCTGACTTGTGTGACCACATCCTGTAATCTGTGTGTCTGTTTGGTCCCAGGTGGGCGAGGACAGCTCAAACAGGAAGTTCCTGGTCAGCCGCCTGTTCGACGTTGCAGAGGGATCCACGCTGGAGGAGTCCTGCAGCAACTGCATCCGCCTGGAGTGGAACAAAGGCGTCGTGGGACACGTGGCCTCCACGGGACAGCCGCTCAATATCAAGAACGCTTACGAGGTGAGGATGAACCGCGGCGCTGTCTCCTGGTTCTTTTATCTTTCTTCAGCTTGGCTTTGATGCTGGAGGAGAAGCGTGCGTTGAGGACAGTTTTTGTATCTGTGAGTTTGTGCTGAAACAGGCTCGTGTTTGCTTCGGGCACATTTGATGCTTCTTGCTGACTGAGCACAGACTACAGGGAGGGAGGGGGATCAAAGAAGGGCAAGTAGGTCAAAGTGCTCCACTAGAGGGTTCATCTCCACACACACACACACACACACACACACACACACACACACACACACACACACACACACACACACACACACACACACACATGCTTCTTCGTCTTCCTCCTTACTGAGTAGCAGCAGAGTGTCTAATGACATTTGACCTCCTGACCTCCCGGCTGATGTCGGTTCAACACACTGTCACTCTTCCCCCTTTAGTCGATGATCAACCAACATGTCTTGGTTTAGACTTTTCTTGTTCTTGAGTTTATCTTTTTTAAAACCACAAAGAGCCAGTTTCATCATCGCTGAAGCCCCCCCCCCCCCCGGACTCTGTTGACAGAAACAGAACAGGAGTGTTGCTGGCTTGTTGTTTCCTCGTGTGGTTTTATGAAGGACTTATTTGTCATCAGGTATCCTGATCAGATGCTCTGCTGTCAAAAGAACAGATTTCTCTTGATCAGAACTTTATCTTCTGTTAGCGAAGATTACTGACACTGATGCTATCATTAGGTAACGTTAGCTAGCTAGTTAGCACTCAGCTATGCTTTGATGATGAAGAGTTTCTTTTCCCTTCAATTCCCACACAGCAGAATTATTGACCCAGACACTTTGAAAATACATAAAATGCTCTAAACCTTTGTAGACTTTCACTTTAATGGCAGCGTAAGTGAAAGGATTCTTCACTAGATGTATGAAAACATCACTGGAGGGAAGCACGGCGCTACACCGGAGCTAGGGTTAAGCCCCCTCAAGTGTTTTGTTAGTATGTTTTTTTTTTTTAAATAAACTGTAAAAATAGCACCCCAGCATATTAGTCAAGCTCCCCATCAGCACCTGGAGAAAATCCTGGCTCCGCCCCTAACTGGAGGGAAGATGTGGCGAGGACTTTGCTGTCCTTAGCGTTTGAAAATGTGTAGAGGGAACAGTTTATCTTCATATCTCTGTTTGTGTGCGGTCGTCAGGTGATGTAAATGTGCCGCTGTTTTGATGAGATTGAAAATTAAAAATTCTGTTTTCAGTTCCGATGCTCTTTTTTCCCCTCAAGCTGCCGCGCCGGGTGAGTTAAGAATAAATAAGCGTCAGTATGTGGAGTATTTTAAATCAAAGCTTACGGCAGTTTTTGCTTCACTGGCTGTAAAATAACTTCCATAACGAGAAAGCTTCAAGACGGATTATGAAACTTCATTGTCTTTATACCTCAGGGACGGCAGAGCAGCGCCATCAGCGTCTGACATCATGTGTTTCTGTGTGTGTGTGTGTGTGTGTGTGTGTGTGTGTGAGAGAGAGAGAGAGATATTTCCTGCTGTGTACCTTCCTCTGGTTGCCTGCCAACCGAAACAACAACAACATGATGATGATGATGATGATGATGATGATGATGATGATGATGATGATGATGATGATGATTACTGGGAGAGAGAGAGAGAGAGAGAGAGAGAGAGAGAGAGAGAGAGAGAGGAGACAGGGCAAGAACACGACAAATAAAGAACAGGCGTGGCTGATGGGATGGTCCACCTGTGTCCAATTAGCTCAAGTGTGGTTTTGAGTGTGTGCATGTGTGTGTGTAATTAAACCCTGTCATGAAGTGTGTGTGTGTGTGTGTGTGTGTGTGTGTGTGTGTGTGTGTGTGTGTGTGTGTGTGTGTGTGTGAGTTTGCAATGATTGACCTTGTTTGTGAGTGCATGCACACACATAAAAATGGCTTAATGTCAATCAATGTTAGAGCATCATGAGTGTTCTTTTTTAGGACTCTGCTAATGCACGATGTTACACGGGATTACCTGAGTGTGTGTGTGTGTGTGTGTGTGTGTGTGTGTGTGTGTGTGTGTGTGTGTGTGTGTGTGTGTGTGTGTGTGTGTGTGTGTGTGTGTGTGTGTGTGTGCGCACGTGTACTGCTGCAGAACAAGATACTGCTTCCAGGAAGTCCATCTGCGACATCTGAGGGACTCCCCAGCTCTCTGATTGGATCTTTAACTTCCCATTAGTGTGTTCAGGATTACATTGATTTCAGCAGCGTGATGACAAACATCATCATCCCCCAGTGTCTGGGGGGGGGGTGCATTGTGCTGCATCCAAAATGTAATCTTTAAGAGAAAGGCAGCAGGAGTTCTCCATCATTCACTGAGTTTTGTTTTGATTCCAGTTGATTCTGGCCCATGTTTCTTGGATTATAAAAAGATTATTGTGTGTTTACACTTTGTGGTCAGCTGGTTTTCTTGCTCTAGAGGGAGTTTTTGTTCTGGTGACAGACTGTTTTGGTTTTTGTCAGAGTGACTTTAAGTGAAACAGACAAGGGTTTGGTTACTAAAGCCCTTTTCACATCTGCACGCCCAAACATGTCTAGATCATTTCAGGAGGACTGGCCCCTGATATACTCCTGACATGATTGTTCACACATGCACATCACAGCAGGAGATTACACCGAGGTCCCCTGAGGCAAGACATAAAGACGTAAAAAATTAGAGCCTGACCAATTTATCAGCCGGCCAATATCAACATATCCAGTGACTATCGGTATCGGCTAATTTTATAGCATATATGTGCAGATATTACAGATTTATTCACCAGTCACACAGCATTTTATTTAAGTTTCACACTAGCAGTTTTCTGTCACCAGCAGAGAGCACTATATGGATTACAACAAGCATCATGACTCTGCAGAGTGTTGAACGGTGATGCACGATGCAGCCGACATAACGATATCAAGTTTTTTCTCGCCCCAAAAATCCCTTCTCGGTCGGGACC